GAGCAGGTAGAACCATGGGAGATTGGTAGTCTGAAGCTGAGTGGTAGCAAACAAGACCTGGCTCAATGACTGCCAGAAAGTGAAAAGATTAGGATTTGGTAGAGCAAATAGAAGTGCGGGTTCAGCTAGATTATGTGGTTTGAGAGATAGGATATTTTTCTCCGTGAATTCGATTATCGATGGAATTAAAAATAACCAACGCACGTGGCCAGAGATATGCATTACCGGGCGTGGGGGAGCAGATTCAGATTTCATTCCCATTCATTAATGTCGATTGAGGCGGAAAAGCGCATACACAAATACTTTAGCACTCGACCTATGATGATATGAATAATGCTGGGTTTTTGAGTGACAAATGGATAACTGATTCAATTCTGATTTCCAGACTGAAGTTTTCTTCTCCTCCACGTGAAACATCTTACTTTCCTTTCACGAATAAAAAACAAAGTGATTCGAAAGCGAACGTAGCGCAATAGGTAATCAATTCCATGGTGAATGTATGCGAATTCAAGACATGTCAACTACATTACTAAGCTATGATCATGCGACATAGTCGAGTATGTTGCTTATCAGAGCTCTGATGTGGGGAATTTACGTGTCGCTCATTGGGGAGTCGACCGCGAATCGGATACTGTGGTAAGAAGCACGAATACTGAGAAAAATTCAATCTAGCTTGAACAGCAAATGCGGTTTGTGAACTGAAATCCAACCACACATGACCAGCATTCATTTTGGTCATAGTGTAAAGAACAAACCGAGAAGAGGAACTGATAAAAATCCAGCGAGTGATGGGGCGCGGATGAACGGGAATGAATTACCAGAACACTCAGAATTAAAAAAAGAAACAGTTTCTGATGGGTATCTTCTCGTACAAAAATAAACATAGGGCTGCTAAACAAGGTGTGTATTGTATTGTATTGTATTCAGGCTTTAGCGAGTTATATACAAGCTTTCAGTCAAAAAAATAGACCAACGTTACAATTCTGGTAAAAACAGGGGGAAAGTGGGATGTGAAACGTACAAAAATATGGTTTAATTACTAATTGCATTAGAAAGCTCATAACGAACACTTTCCTTTTCGGTCAGTATCCGGGCAAGATAGGGTACCAAAGAGTTTCTCTATGCAGATATGCGAGACGGGTACTTAGAACGGGTAGAGGAGTGGGATTTGCATGCACACAGGTCAATGTGTAAAGGATGGGTGCAATCACATAGGATATTGTCAGCAAACTTCAAGCACGCATCAATATGGGCATTACACATATTGTAAATCGAAACAGATAACGGAACTTGGGAGATACGGCTGATCATTGAGTGGCCACGCCCCAGCAACTTGAAATCAGCCTTCAGCAAACCAGGGAAAATTACATGGGTGCAATAAAGGGGTATAGGGACAGATTGATCGGACAAATCTCAGCGCAATTAGGCTTAGCGACTGAATGTAAAGAGCTTCATACACTTTTTCTGATCAGTGTTGAGTTGCTACCAGATTGGGAACAGTAGCGATTCATGGTGTTTGCATACTTATGTATCAAATGCTCTATCTGCTAACTACAACTGATGCGTGATGAATACGACTGTTAAGTGGACGAATGAAGCTCCAGGTGTACGCATAATTTTTCAATTTATTCCCTGAACTTTAGAAGAACATGATCGGCTGGTATAGATAAACATACTCACCCCTGAAACTCTTTCGCACTGATCTAAACGATACTCTTGGCTCTCGTTCAGTCACAACCAACCAAATAGCACACCTCGAATGCAAAACGCCCAAAATTTCGTTGATCCACATGAATGTAACGCCATGGTTTCGTATCATACACGAAAATAGTTACAATGTGGTAGCACTCAGTAAAGCAGTCTGGGAAAGAGATTGCTCGAACGAGCCTTCCGCACATGTGAAGTATCTTTATCTCAAATTCACCCGCCAAACAGAGATGGATAGATGACAGTGGTTGAGTGATATGAGTCACTGTCACATTGTCTCGGTGGTCATGCATTCATTCACCGCCTAAATTCTGCACTTCTTTGTGTATCCTGCTCATTTTTATACTTGTTCGATTGATATCAGGCAATGAGATATGAGTATCGTGAAATTAGAATGCATATTTGATTTAGGTTTTCCATCCCTTCCTAGGCAAGGGTAAAATTCAGAATAGGATGGACGCCTAATCATGCAGTTGCGTTGAACACGTCGAGGGTGCAAAACTGGCGCCACACAGAACTCCAAACCCAATCAAACAACCAAGAACTTCACTGATCAGTGCAATCTGGTCCAAGCCAAAGAGGTGGCCGTCTGAACGCGAATTGAGGCCATCAATCTCGCACAATGATAGACCTACTTTGCAAGCGATTATCTATTGCATTCAAGTTTCCAATGAAGTTGTCAACCTCAATTTGAATGCCGGGATGAATCAATACGATAACTGGGCAGCCATTTGCTATGCTTCCCAACCGAACCGATATTGCAGTGTCTGATGCGACTGTGTGCAAATCACATAACATTTCTAACGAGTACATTAATTATAATAATAATAATAATAATAATAATAATCATATTCCAAATTTTTCGGAGTTCAGACTTTGCGCCTAATAAATAAAGATACAAAACGTTTCACAAAGGTAGAATTAACTTGATTACATTTGTTAGGATATCGATTGTGCCCTCGCGTATCTAGATGGATTTCCTTGACAAAGGTAAGCCACGGGGAAACACCAATACGAGGGATGTAAAAATAACTTACGATACACAAACATGACCTGAATAGTTAGTTAGAAAGATTCGCAAGTTTTAAACAGGTGATTTGACAGAGGAGGGGACGGAACAAAAAAGTATGATAAGAATTTCTCTAGCAATATTTGCATGATCCCACTGTTCGTCCTTTTTTAAAGTGGGACAGATGTCCGCTTAATAACTTCACCAGACTCTTAGACTCTATTGGATATAATCACTTTATTTACGAGGGACAATTAAATTATATACGTACCATCGTAAAATAGTGGGGCGTGACGAGATGTATCTGTTCCTCTGTTTTCGGACAGAGCCTGAGGTCTGGTCACCACTCCGCCTGCCGATCCAACTGTGGCTCGCGGAGTACGATCCAAGACCCAACGCTCATCCTCAGGCTCGTCATATTGATCTGTGGGTACTGGTAAGTCCAACTGGTTTTGTGTGTCCAACGATAATTGGTCCAAACTGGGGCACAGTGAATAGCTATCTTCTGAGCCCAGTTTGGTCCATCCAAAATCCAGACCAACATGGGAGTCCGCATCGGGAATAGGACTCCACAAACCCTCGGCCTGCTCCCGTCGTAACCGTTCCAAAGTAGCCATATAAGCGCTAGGTGCCGGTCCCACAAGGGTTGCATCGTGATCGTCGTAAAGACTGGATGTGGTCGCCGCATGCGAATTGACAACATCTGTGGGCATGCACGGGGCCGAGGCGAGGGAAGGACGCCTGTTCGTGGGACTAGTGGGAAAAATGGGATAAAGAAGCACGGAGATAAGAAGGCGGTAAGCGTGGTTGTGAGTACGATTGGTTGCGACCAATTTGCTCGCGATGGTTCTTAACGCGTCAGTATATGTCGATACCATGAGTGTGCCAAACGAATAGATCAGCTTGTAGCAGAAGGCTACCCAACCTAAGGAAAAATCTTCGGTTATCTAGAGTGAAGATCTAGGAAATGGTGCGGAACAGTGAGTATTCAGCAAACAATCCGATCCAGGGACTCGAAGCAAACAAATTACTGAACTATTTACTTGAACATCAGGTAAAACATTTTTAAATCAGGTATTGAAGTACAATTGAAATCAAAATAGTGGGGTTTAGGCCCCACGGTGATACTCATCCCTATTTGTTGCCATTACTTCGAGAATTAGGAGCAACAGTCTACAGATAAAGTTTGTTCATGTTATTTGACTGCAGTTTAGTCAAACAAGTGCTCTGTTGTTCAGTGCTCGAACATCATGTTACATAATTAGGCAATGGATTTCAAACTACAGTGGGAGCAGCCAACTGGATTTCCGACTTGGAGTTGACGAACCAGGAGATTAGGATGAAATCGATTGCAAATAATAATCCTCAGTGACCAGTTTCAGTTGGCAGTGGTCATGAGAGACATTGTTGATAGTCTGTTCCGAGGTTTGAACCGGTCTACAAAAATACGTGCATAGAGAGTACGTTGAACTTTTTACCACTGAATATTATTACATCATACCATTCACACTTCCATCTAGTACGATTTCTGTCCCGATCAACTCGAACTACAATATGGTGCTCGGCAATCCAACACATCGCTCTACTTTCTTCCTTCCTTTCTCTCTTTCCACACCGTACAGGTAGATACTGGTGTTTGTGGCACCGACCGTACATGATGAGCATTGATATCAAATTACATGAATGTATGCAACATTGAGCAGTATTGTACTGTGTTGAATACAGCAGATATAAGTTGTTTTATGGCCTATTTAGAGAGGTTTCTTTGTAACTTCTGTTGCTCTTGATGAGTTTGCTTGACTTTCGTTATATCTCTTGAGCCTCTATAGAAAACTATCGATCCCTAGTCCAATTCAGACATCTATCTCGTGTTCCATTGAAGCAAAAGCTAAACAGTCGCAATTGGACATTACAGAGCCTCATTCACAGAGACCGCGAGACCATGTTGTGAATTTTTTTGAATCACGTATAGGGAAGAGTTGTAAAACACGCGAGTGTGTGTGGCTATTTTCTCTCTCTCTTGCATAAAACGAGCTGAGGCATTTTCGGGGGGGGGGGGGGGGGGGG